GTAAAATACAATAAAGAAATTATTCATTTATTATTTAAAGTTTAAATTCTCATAGCATAAAGGCCTTTGTGTATATAATATATAAATCAAATAATTGTGTTTACATGGGAAATTTCATGTTTCGATTGTCACTCCGGAAATCGTTTTCAAAAAAGATTATTTTAGAACTGTGTAATAAAAGTATAAGAACTGTGCTATATAGGACCGTTATTACGGTCCTTATATTCGGTTTTTTTAATGTTTCCTTTGACAAGACATGCTGGAGATAAAAACATACCCCCTCCATTGAAGCAAGCAATTACAGATATGGTTTCATTCTTTTCACTTAATGTAATTGCTGCTACACTCCTAAATAACCTAGTCTATTGTTTAGTTTTAGTACGAATTCACACACGTTAAACATATTTCGCAGTTTATCAAAAAAGTTGTGCTGTATCAAGATGTTCTGCATCAACGAAAAGTAGTTTGCAACATTTTTCTTATTTAAACCGCTTGATCGTGCCTGTGAAACTTCTTCCGATTTGCGGATTGAGAGTTATTGATTTCGTTTTAAAAATAAATGTAGTCAATCCATTGCGGCAATTTCCTTTTCACGTAATGCAGATTATATTTCTAGACCAGTTGTTATTCCATGGTAGGTACTTCGGTTCTAGTCGGTGCAAATCTTAATTTTTTTAATCTTATGATGTGTGTTGCCCTCTTCTTTTCACATTCCTGTGTTAAGACCAAAGGGGTGTTTGTAAAGCCCCCGTTTGCTAATCTTCTCTTTAGCGTTGACTATTGACCGCCAACCTCCTTCGATATTTTATTCAGGTTCATTCATTCCTGAAAAAATGATAATAGAAGTTTTTGTTATGCTGAGAAATACGAGTACAGTTTGTTTTTTAATCACTAACAAACCAAAGCAAATCAGACTAAACCAATCAAAAAAAAATTGAATAAGAAATAGTTATACGTGTTGGAAAATGCCTTCGCCATATCGCCTTTATATGTAATCGAGCAGAAGGTACTGGGTTTTTTCTCTAGTGGTGGAAATGGTGGATAGTTTTTCTCTAGTGGATTAATATTGATATGACCAAAGATGGAAGAGAAGAGGAGCAACGTAATTAGAGATCTTAAATAAAACCACAAGGGTGCCAGTTGGAGGATTATCAGTCAATCTAATTTGAGAAGAAAATAAAAGCATATTGCTGGTTCAATGAAAAACGTTTCTTATATGAATTTATATACATCATCAGTTCCAATTTTAAACTAAAACTGTAGGAAATAGAAATAGGGAATAAACTGGAACAAAATTTAACGGAACTAATTGAACTGAACTAAAATATATATATATATATATATATATATATATATATATATATATATATATATATATGTGTGTAAAAAAACATATATGAATACGACATTGCGGTCCTCATAATGGTAAATTAACCATCGATAACCAGTTATCGTTCTTACATTTACTTAAATGTAAGGACTAGAGTCTTAGTGCTAACCAGTTAAGCATGACGTGACTATACAAAATTAATTCATCATATTAAATAATACCTCATTCTTACTATCCTCCTTATAACAACGTCGTCCTATGAGGGCTTGAGAACACGGTCGTTATGGTTTGTTCCATAGTTATGGTGTGTTCTGTTGGTATGTCTTTCACATCCTCTGGGATTAGTACCTTGTTTAGTTTGTGAATAGCATTTTTTTCCTGCACCTTTTATCCTATTCCACTGCGCATATACGATTGTTAGTATTACCACCATTTTTTAAATTCGTAATAATATATTGTTCTGAAGCTAAAAAGCTAAAGTCCTAAAATAAACGGATGGTAAAAAAAGAAAAATCAAAGAAGCGGCTCTAATTTTGCTAAATGAGGCCAATTGTGTCGCAAATTCCTCGGCAGAATGTAGTAGGATCTGGTTATCAATATTGAAAGAGGAAGTTATTAATAAGAAAATACCAGTATTAGTAAGTCAGTAACATATAGAGGATACATCATTTATGTTTTTTAAATAACGTAACATATAAAATCAGAATTTTGATGTTTGTTGAAAGTAAACTAAATTCACGAACAAATACTTACAATGTCGGGATAGTATTATGAGGTTTTTTTCCTGGTTTTCCCTCATAATTTACTATGGAATCACTAACAGGAGAATTTTACTGTCATCATGTCATGTGTTTGTCTTTTTAAAGACGAATTACATGCTATGATTTTTTTTCTGACGGATATTCTCAAGTTAAAGTTGATTTCATGTGATCGAATGAACTATCTTATAAGTAAAGTCGTCCCAGGAGCGCAACTCAACAATATTGGCAATATCATTTTAAAGTCGTCTACTTTAAAATGCATAATGTATGTCTGAATTATCAATATAAATGAGTCAGATAAAATTAAATTATTAGAAGAATTTTTCACTATGTAACAAAAAAACAAAATTTGTTTAATTTACTGTTTGTATTTTGAGAACGATTTCCGAAGTGGAAATTGAAACGTCAATAAACGTATGTTTATCTTTAATTGTGGCTTATTCCCAGTTTAATAGTAATTAATTCGTAATAATATGTTTCATTTTAAACTCTACATTATTTCTATTATTAAGGTTTTGTATATGTGATATTTTGTTGATTAATTAAGCGATAATAACATTAACTGGCAATGAATATTCGCCTCTCTACTTCCTCTGCAACTTGTTATCAGACGTATCTAGGGATTCTAAGTATGTTAAGTTTTTGATTCCTCACTGTTGTATTCTGCTATTGTTAGATTTTATACCTGCCTTATTTCCCCGTTTTTACTTGTGTGCGTATATTTTGTCTTGTCCAGATTAATTTTTTTTGATTGAATGCTTCTATCATTTCTCTTTTTGACCTTACGATTTTGTAACATCATCTGCAAACGCTAGTATTTGCTCACTTTTATTAATTATATTCCTCGAATACTGACCGTTCCGTCTTTTATTATTTTTGAACATGATCAGCATGATGTTATACAAAATGCTTGATAGACCGTCTCCCTGATATATTCCCTTTTTACGTCCCTTTTAAAGTATCTTTTATCAATTCGATTAGTTGCTTTGAACAAGAGCAAATGTTTTGTGAGCAAAATAGCATCTGCTTTGTCTATTTTCGATTCAGTTCAGAAAGTTTTGATCAATTTAATCACTAGAAATTATTCAAACATTTCATTTCAAATTTAAGGTAGGTCTCCTAAAACTATTCGTGCAAATATATATATATATATATATATATATATATATATATATATATATATATATATATATATATCTGTGGTGTTTGGGGACATGTGTTAACTCCAAAATGCATGTTTTTCAGAAGGGCAATTTTAACATTCGAGAAGGTTTCTTAAATCGAACGCAACAAAAAAAAAACCAAATATATTTCATTAAATACTTTATTAAGTGCTATAACAGATGTAACAAACTGAATATGTTTTAACATTTCTGTTTTTGATATAATGGCACATATCATAATATTTGTATCAAAAATATAGAGTTTTAAAAAGTATTTTAATGGAGATAACGCTCAAAGAGGAGAGAACTTAAACCGTTATTGGTCAATTTCTTTGTATTGGAAAACAGTGCTGTGAAAATATATGGCTTTACTTGTACCAAATTAAAACTTACGCGTTGAAATTTTCATCACTGTCACTTGTATATTGTGTGGTACCGGTTTGAGTGTGTTTAAGCGAAAGTATCTGAATATTAGACATGAAAGTTGACCTGCCTCTTCTTAGCATTTACATTAAACGAAACGGTTCATTGGAATCTAATATGTATTTTAATCCTATATCACTATCCTTTTTGTAATGAAGCCAAAATATGCTGTTTCAAACCAAAGAATTGTTATCTTTATCAATATTTCTTTTTATAAAATGCGTTGTTAGAAGTTTGGAAAATCCGAAAAAGTCAGTTTGTTTTATAAATTTTATGTCAAAACGAGGGCTCGTCATTTGAATTACTGATACTCAGTCCTGTGGAACTAAAAATGTAGCATTTCTTTTTTTCACAAATCTCTCTATAGAAGCATGGTCTGTATGACATTCTAAATAAGTATGACTAGAAATTAGGAACTTATGATGAATTTCTTTTGGAGTTTCCTTTTCTTCAAGTGCTTTTAAAAATATAATCGGTAATATATTATTTCGGTTTTGATCTGGGCACGTATCAGAATAGAGGTCTAGTTTTTCTACCTGTTCTGGCAAGTCTTTAATAAACTGAAATAAGCAAGATGCGATCTCATCAGCTCCCCATTGAGGTAGACCTTCGTGCCACACATAACAAGATGTCCGTTTTTTGGTGATATTGCGGATCGTCAAATTGAAAGTCCATAACTTTGTTTTATAGAAAGCCACAGTAGATGTCAAATTAGGTGTAGCCAAACACTTCTGCAAATCAAATGCAACTACTACAAGCTCCACATACTTTCCTCTCTGTCGCCTTGTTTTGTTGTATAATGAAAGGAAGCCTTATCCTGGTGTTGTTGGCGTTCATTTTCTAATAAACACATCTCAATTATTGTTGAAATACGAGAACTTGTATTATAAGCCATGTTTACCAAATTACTCGATAGAACGAAACTGACGTTAATACTGACTTACTGACTAAGTGTAACTAAATAGCCATCGATAGATCTTAACACTAACACAATGCAATTAACACGTTCGTGAATATGACCAAATGCTTATGAATAATTATGATAAGAACAAAACAACGAAAAGAAAAGTTTAATATATTCATGTTATTTACCACTTACATAAAAAAAACTTCTAGAAAATGCTATTTAAATATAATATTTATTTGAATCAATGATGTTAAGTGGGACATAGCATAAAATTAGCAAAATAATTTGCATATTATTTGATATAATTATGATAAGTACCAATTATTACATATGGACCAAAATGTTTTACCAAAAGAATAGGCATAGTATTAGATCTAGACATGATAAGTACCAATTATCAGATATGAACCAAAACGTTATTGTCTAGTTTTGTTTTTGGGTACTTGATATAATATTTTAACAGGACTGTACCAAACAAAATTTGAATAATAGGGACTTATCGATATTATACCAAGCCGTGGCACATTTTCTAGACGTGATGGACATACCATAGTCAGATTAAATGAAAATAGATCAAAAACAAAATGCAGTGCATGACTTTTCAAAATTTTTGCCATTTTGGAGTTATCATGTTTCTCCCAAATACCACAGATATATATATATATATATATATATATATATATATATATATATATATATATATATATATATATATATATATATATAAAATACATGTTGTATATAAAACACTTTGTAACATGTTCTTTAATTTTTAAGTATTTTAAAGTTTTTAAAATTTTTAATGCCTTCAATAATTCAGATCACATTATGTTATTTAACGTTGTGTTTTATATGCTATGAATCTTACTTTCTGGTAAGTTTTTATATAACTTTTATATTACATCAGCCTAATGTTATAACACAGTAATTTTCATTGTAGACCTTGATAAAGGTGGCAAATAACCACCGAAAGCTCGGATTTCAGAATAAATAGTACGCCTTAGCAAAGCTCTATTTTTTATTGACTACCACACCCAAAAAGAAAAAAGTATTTACATATTTTTTCCAAACTAGTCAATTGAATACGTTTGTATACGTAATTTATTACGAAAAAATATCATTGTTAACATTTTTTAGGGTGCTAATTAGTTATAAACATATTAAAATAACCATACAGTCTGTCCTAATCGTGATATGTGAAGATTGGAATATATCGGTGTTTGAAACTCGACAAACTTTGTGTTACTTGTTTTGTGGTGATTGATTTAAATTGTTTTATTCAAGACAAGAATTAATGATGACAAGGAGCCCTTTAGATAATTTCTGAGGAGACAAGTTCCGTTTTTTTGTGGAAGAAAGTCGTTTTAGAAGTAAAATTGTCGATGTGGTAACGAAAGAGGTAAAATATATTGATAAGCAAGTTTTAACAATAATTTTTTTGGGTTACAATATTCCAGATAGATTTAAAATAAATTTAACAAGTTTTTAATGACCTGTGTATCTATCGGATAGTGAAATATTTTAAATTTCTTCGATATGGCTATATCAATAGGCAGTGTAAGATCACAATGTTTAATGAGCCCGAAACGGGTTGCAAAAGCAGATCAAAACAGATTTATGTCCATTGCGAAAGTGCAGATTATCTCTCAATTTCCAAGCATATCCTGTATTTCAAAAATAATACAATATTAAAATGTAACAATAAAACACTGAAAACTTTGTTTTCAAACTAGAAGGTGTAGTGCGTATGTCGAATCTGTTTTTCTATTATTGAAAGCCCTTTTATGTTCTGCTATTCGTTTATTAAAGTTTCTACCAGTTTGACCGATGTAAGTTTTTGGGCAGTCGCCACATTGAAGTTTGTGGATTGAAGTGCAGTGAATTTACTATTGATTTTGTTCCAATAGAACAGAAACACCTTAATATCATGAACCCACAGCCTCCTAAATTATACTCTTTCATTAAACTACACAAACCGGATCACCCAATAAGACCTGTAGTTTCTTTTTATACAGCTCCATCATATAAACTTTCAAAAAAAGTGTTAGAGATTATTTTAGAACACACTAAATTTTCACCTAAATTTACCATAAAAAATACAATAGAACTAATTAATAAAATACAACATTTTCAATTACCTAACAACTCCAGATTAATTTCATTTGACGTAAAAAATCTTTTTCCTAGTATCCCTCCTACAGAAACTTTTATTCTAGTAAAAAACCTTTTAGACCAAAATAGTACAAATCCAATAATTACATCTGAAGTTTACATAAACCAGGACTACTTTGAATTTAATGATCAAATATATACAAATAACAGTGCAGGACTTATAATGGGCAATCCTCTAAGCCCATTACTATCAGATATTTTTATGGACCATCTAGAGACAAAGATTTCAAAACATCCCGTATTCAAACAATTTCTATATTGGTGGAGATACGTAGACGACGTACTGGTATGTTTCACAGGAACTAACAGGCAACTCGACCAATTTTTATCATTTATTAATTCACTTCGTAGTCATGAACTAACAGACAACTCGACTAATTTTTATCATTTATGAATTCACTTCATAGTCATATTGAATTTACATAGAAACAGAACAAAATCAATCCATAAATTTTTTAGATATAAAAATTATCAGACTTAAAAACAAACATGACTTCTCCATATTTCATAAACCTACACATACTGACACGACTATACACAATTCATCGGCCCATCCAACACAACATAAACTGACAGCTTATCATAGTATGTTACATAGATTAACAGAAATTCCAATGTCAAAATACAACTTTGAGACAGAATTAAATATAATTAAGCAAATAGCAGTAAACAACGGATACAACGAACAAACAATTAATAAAATGTTAATTCAAAAACTACACAAGAAAGCCCTGAAATTAGTATTTCCACCACCAGAGAGAAAACCTAGTACCTTCTGCTCGATTACATATACAGGTAACATAACAACAAAAATAGCCAAACACATAAAAAAGAAAGGAATAACACCAGCTTCACGAACAAATAACAACCTAGGCAAATATATTAAAAATAACAAGAGCCAAAATAAAAAACACTTAAATAGTGGTGTGTACAAACTTCAATGTGGCGACTGCCCAAAAACTTACATCGGTCAAACTGGTAGAAACTTTAATAAACGAATAGCAGAACATAAAAGGGCTTTCAATAATAGAAAAACAGATTCGACATACGCACTTCACCTTCTAGATCATAATCATTCTTTTAATGACAAATTTAAAATTCTTCACATTCAAAATAAAGGCCTTAAGCTATCTTTGTTAGAATCTATGGAAATCAACAAATTAAAAAACACAGATATAATTCTGAATGACCAACTTGAGACAAACAGTTCTCCCCACCTCAACCTATTTCATTAGAGACTATAAATTGTAAACGCATGCCAAAAATAGATCACTTGAGAAAGGCAATTAGCCGAAACAGGTGTAGTGATAATAGTTAAAATAAATTTTGTGAATGTTTGAAAACAAAGTTTTCAGTGTTTTATTGTTACATGAAATGAATGAATTACAATATTAAAAAAAATGTCACAAAAGAAAATACTTTTTGCCGCCATAAAACATCATTTGCCACCATACAAACCAGTTGATAGCTTTGTTTCACTAAGTAACCCGAAAGTTTGTATTTCATCCAATGAAATAATGAAATAATCAAATTAAAACCTAGTCTGCCTAATCCATATAGGACCGTTCTACTATATTCTTCATAAGTTGTCCTATCCGTTTCGGATGTTGCCACCATCAAGGCAAAGCGAACTTTATAAACTGCGCTGCGAAATAGCGCCAAGTCCTAATCCTAAACAAAAAACAAATAATCAAATATCGTACGATCGACCAATAAACTTTTAACAAAAAAAATTCGTCTGTCAATACTTATTATTAAATTAACCTTGTCCTTTGCTAACGTTTTTCGAGATCTCTCTGCTATGTCATTGTTCTCTCTTTTATTGGTCTTCGTCTTATTTTTTTCCCTATTGGTTTAGCTTCCCATACTATTCTCACTTGCCTGTTACTGTCTACTAATGTCATCTGTAAATACGCTTATCTCTGCATTTATCATTTGTATTATATCCCATGGTCGGTCAGATAGCTCAGCGGGCTGTGCGGCTGCCTCTCATTCGCTTCACTGTCGAATGGTTCAGTGGATGTGGGTCGAGCCCCAGCTCGGTGTACGGAAAACAAAAAGTCTAACGCAGCAGTTTAAAATTCTAGATGAATCTGCGGCTTAGACTAGGATATGCTGGGATCTGATCGGCCTATGGTGGAGCAGTACGGCAAGAGATAAGGGCTTGCGGCTCGGTGATACTCCTCCATAGATCCCTACCGGACGGGCGTAACGCCTAAAAAACCGGATATATATATATATATATATATATATATATATATATATATATATATATATATATATTATATCCCATCCTACACAGTATTTTTTAAAGGTTTTCTTACATTTATGCAGGCAATATTTGTAGTATGACTCATGCAAGACCAGGGCTACTGTTGTATCTCTCACTCAGGCATGCAATGTATACTCGATAAGTAAATTTGTTACTTCATAGGGGGTTTACCGTGAAGTAGATAATAGAAACACTTGAATTGCTTTTATAAATTTAATTACTACTATTGACAAATGAGAGAAATGATTACAATTATTATTACTAACTAAATGGCAATATGAGTAAACTTAATACATAATACAGTTAACAATACAGTATGATATTTGGAATATGATGTACCGTGCTAATTTACAAAGTTTAATGTTACGCACTTGTCTTGGAATTAATTGTTAGAAATTGAAGATGTTTATTCGCGAAATGGTTTGATTGATGAACAGTTGTATAAATACCTGCTGTCTGTAGGTTGTCTATACCTGTTTACCAGGAACGTGTAACCAAGTTGTGATTTATTTCCTTTTGGCTAAGCAATGCTTTTCACAGCTGTACAATCAAAAGCACTGATTGATTTTAACATCTTTGGATGCAGAAATAGACCCTGCTAGTTTATCTCTTGGTAGATGATGCGTTAACCTTCCGATGGTGAAGATTACCGTGGAAGGTTAATGATGTAACTCAATGATAACACCGCACTCGATTTCGATTGCCAATCATACACAAGTTAGCCAGTGAAAATTAAACACAGATTTTACGATACTTACACAGAATTGATTGTGGATGTTTCACACAGATGACTACTCGTTCACAGTTAACAAAGAGGTGACGTTTTTGTAACAAAAAAAACCTTAAATATTAATTTTTTGACAATAATCAAAAACTGGTGCCATCTGGCGGATAATAGCACTAGCAATGCTTTTTGGAGGTGCATTGTGAGTTTACTACGTAGTTATTTTTAATTTGATAGAAGTACCTCCCTGTTTAACGTCTTGCGTTTGACTATTTTTTAACTTTTGTTCTCTGTACTCTCTATCTGAATATTTATGTTGGGTTTTTTTTTAAGTATTTTTTTCACAATTGGGGAAGAGCAAAATACTCAGGCGGTTCATGTACCCTGCACTGTTCCAAGGAAGCTTTCCTTTATTTTAGTCGCTTTCGTGGTGTTCGAGTTTTGTATAGGGTATACCGCTCGTCCGCGATCTGTTTAATTATCTCTATGTGCTATGCAACACCACGATATATAGATTGGTTTGTGTGTTCTAATGCATTTTACCATTCCACGCAATTTGGAGTTTTTGCTTGGCTTCCTTTGCGAGAAGGTGGAAAGCGCAAGTTGGGTTTT